TTCTATTCTATTCTATTCCATTCCATTCCATTCCATTCCATTCCATTCCTTCCTTCCTCATTCTTTCTCTATTTTATTCTGTTCTTCATTCCAGTATCTGTTTTATTCTGTTCTGTTCTGTTCTATCAGGCATCCCCAACCCTCCGGCTGTGGCCTGGTGCTGGGCCCCGACCCATTCAGAACCGGCCGTGCAAGTGTCAAGCGAGCATGCACACCCAGCTCCATTTGCATTAGCTCTGGGCACACCCGTGCACAAGTGCCCGCCATTCTTGTAAATGGAGTTATACGGCCAGTGGTGGGATTCACATTTTTTTTTACTACAGGTTCTGTGGGCGTGGCTGGGTGGGCATGGCAGGGGAAGGATAAAATCTCCAGTCACAGGCGGTATTTGCCGGTTCTCCGAACCACTCAAAATTTCCACTACCGGTTCTCCAGAACTGGTCAGAACTGGCTGAATACTCACCTCTGCTTCACGCACGTCTGCTGCTCACACGGGATCATTCTTGGCTTTCATGCTGTTGCATTTCCAAGGACTGCAGGCAGCTTTCAAATATCTGTGGAGATTCTCCGTCATCCAGGCCACGGCTGCCCCAAAAGGTGCTTTTTCAAGAGGCAACTGGACTTTCCTTGGTTTTTCCTCGAAGACGTTTCGCTTGAAAGGACCATGTTGTAGTCTGGAGACAGATGAGGTCCTATCCCTCCCTCTCTGTTGAGAGGGGGCTCTTCAGTTTTGACATAGGTGGCCTCTTGGGCCCCTCTTTCAAACCAGCGGTCCTCTCTGTCCAAAATGTGGACTTGGTTGTCTTCAAAAGAAGGGCTGTTGTCCTTTAAACCAGGGGTCCCCAACCGCCGGTCCGCGGACCGGTACCGGGCCGCGGAACAAGCCTTACCGGGCCGCTGGTTGCTGGGCGCCGCCATCTTTTTTTTGGTAAAAAAGCGCTTCTGGTGAGCTTTTCCGGGTAGAAAGCTCACCGGAAGCGCTGTTTCGTCATAAAAAGATGGCGGCGCCCAGTTGACGCCGGTACCGGGCCGCGGCGCCCAGCTGATGTCGGAACCGGGCCGCGGCGTCGAAAAGGTTGGGGATCCCTGCTTTAAACGCAGAGGGACTGCTGAATTTATTCCCTGATGGGTTTGTTCTTCTTCTTTTTAGAATAACAAGAGCTGGTTTTCCCCTCACCCCCGGGTGTATCCTGATTCATATTCTCCAATGGGACACATCCATAGCTAAGAGTCATCAATCATGCAGTTAGATGTTTGCCCGGGAGAAACTTCAATCACTGAGTTACTATCTTTGAAAACATTTATGGAATGCACGTTCAATTTCCAAGCTGCCGCACTGCTGCCCCCTCCCTTTCTGTTGGCAACTCTAAAAAACACCATGGAAATATTTTAGGAGTTGACCCAATCAGCCACGGAACCAGCCTTCCTAACTCTTGGGCTTCTTTGGGCTGTCCCTCTTTAGGTCTGCCTCGACTACCCCTTCGGGGTCTCCGAAGACCTCTCAGCAAAATGTCTACAACCCACCCGATGTCTCTACTTGGAATCCTTTTGACGACGACAACTTCTCCATGCTGACGGCAGAGGAGCTGCTGAATAAGGACTTTGCAAAACTGAGCGATGGTGAGTTTGGGGGTTGGTGCAGAAGCTGGACCAGAGATGCTGTTGTGGTTCGCCGGCAGCCGGCAGAGGTATCAGACAGTGAGGACGAAAGGGAACCAGTCAGGGAGTCTGGAGAGGACTTGCACAGGGGTCCTGCATCCGATGCAGGGATGGGGCCAGGACCACCTGGGAGTGGGGTGCTGCCTCCGGAGCCTTTGGAGTCTGGTAGCAGCGAGGCAGAAGAACAAGGGGAGCCTGTTCCCAGTGCGCGTGTGCGCAGAGCTGCCAGAAGGCGAGAGCAGCTGAGACAAAAGAGGCGACTTGGGAGTAAGGCTAGGAGGTGATTGCCCCTCCCATAAGGGATAAAAGTCAGCCCTCAATGACGGAGAGCTTTGCAGGAAGCAAAGCAGTTCAGTAATCTCCGAGTCCTTCGTGAAACTCTGTACTCTGGGCGGTTTTTCTGGGTTTTTGGGTTGCTTTATTTTAGCCTTAATTGGACTTCTGTTTCGTGGCAGCATTCGACAGCACTGAAAAGAGGTTTTACTTTCAAATTCAGTTGGTGTTTGATTAAGTTTGACAAAGCCTGGGTCAGGACAGTTGGCAGCTTAAAGATGGCAGGCGAGATGACACCTTTTTACTGGCTCTTGGTTCACCACTTTGTTTTCACTGCCCCAGTTTTTCCTACCTTGCGCTCACCAAAGCATCCCATGTTCCTCCGATGGAGAAAGAGAAGGAGGGAGGGGCGTGTGTCCCTGCTGGACTTCCCTTCCGTTTGCTCCTTCCGTAGCTCCTTCTCTGGCATCTGGCTTCCTTCTGGACCCCCTGAAACTCCTTCATCTGGCTCAGCCAGGAGGGGGGCACAACGGGGGGGGGGGGACTCGATTTCATTGCATCATGGTTATGTTTGACCTCGGGGGGGCGGGATAGGGGTGGCCAGGGTGGGCATGGCCAGCTCAACGTCGTTCAGGTCAGGGGGCACATGCAGGGCTGGCTGCTGGGGGTTCGCAGGGGTTCGGGAGAGCCTCATGAGTAAAATTCTCTGTAGTTCAGAGAACCCCCAAATCCCACTCCTGGCTGGCCCCCCACCCAGGAGTCCCCTGCGGCCCCTTTTGGATGCAGGTAAGTGCAAGATGCACACGGGCCTCCTGGAAGTTTGGGAAGTTTGGAAATGGGCCCGTTTCTGCTTCCAGAGAGCCCCCCCCCATGGCCGTGTCCACCTAGCAACCAGGCAGAGAACCCTTTGCTAAAATTTTGGAAGCCCACCCCTGGGTGCCTGTGGTGGCCCAAGCGCACTGCCAGCGAAAACGGGCTCCCGAGCTCTGTTTTCGGCTGCAACGGCCTCCTGCAACCCTCTGCCAGCGAAAACAGGCGGCCCTCCCAAGCTCCGTTTTCCCTGGCAGAGGCGCCGTGGGCTGGTCTGGCTCGAAACTCACGATCTAATTGGGGTAACTGCCGAAATCCTGACACCTTCACTGTTTCCTGGCTGGCCCCGTGGGCCACATTTAAGCAATCCACGGACCAGATCCGGCCCACAGGCCTTGGGTTCGACACCTGCCCTGGCATACAACAAGCAATCAGTAGTTGGCAGCCGCTTTTAGCATGGGCTGCCCTTCCTTGGCCCTTCCTCTTTCCTTTCCTCCACCTTTCCTCTCTGGAACGCTCGCACAGAATTCCTGCGGGTTGTCCTGTTCTCTCCGTCCCTCGTCTCCACGTCGTTGTACCCACCTGCAAGTGGTGAGTAACATTTAACGACCGGTCCCTTTGAATTCCAGGTAAGCCTCCTGAGAAACTTGACAGCTCAACGGAGAACCTGATCCCAGGTTTTCAGCCCGCTCCTTCCGCAGCGCAGTCGGACGCATTCGGCGCTTCTCCTCTTGCACCCATATCAGGTAGGTTGTGGGGCAGCCAGAAAGGATTGGAGACTCATCATTGATTTGGGTCTGTCGGGCTGAATCTTGTCTTGAGCACAACTTAAGAACTGTGCCCTTCGATGAAAGAAGGTGGATGGAGAAATAAGCTTTCATAGATCTCCAAGGCCTGTTGACATGACTTTGCTTTAACTGGTTCTATCTCACCATGCTGGCCAAAAATGATGTGAACTGAAGTCCCGTCACTGCAGATGCCAGCTCGGGAAAGGCGGATATTGAATCCGTGGCTTTCCGGATGCTGCTGCACAGCTCCCCCTAGCCTAAGAAGAACCTAGTTAATGAATAAAATACTGGGAGGTCCGTCTTGTCGGCATTTAGGAGGCGCACAGGTTTTCCCCATCTTGAGCTAGGCCAAGAAAGTGAAACGTGATGGATTGATCTCTGTTGCGAGATGCAACGTTACCAATTAAAAGATCAACCGTGTGCCAACTTTCAGATCCACAGAGAAGAATTGTGAGATGTGCTTGGCCACACATTTTGCAACACAACAGCCATCTAGTGCTCCAGCGGTGGGTACTAGGGAAACATTCGCTCAGGGGTGTCTGTAAGAATTGTGGACTTCAACTCGCAGAATTCCACCAGCTGATGTCCACAAGTCTTAAAATTGGTCAAAGTTAGATGCCCCGTTTTAGCTCAGGGGTCTCCAACCTTGGCAACTTTAAGTCTTGTGGACTACAACTCCCAGGGAGTTGAAGTCCACAAGTCTTAAAGTTGCCAAGGTTGGAGATCCCTCTAATTTAGCTAACACAGGAGATAGCAGCTGATTCTTGAGAGAGTGGACGGACAGACAGACAGAATGTCATTTTGCTTCTATATAACTCAGAACTCTGGATTTTAAAAACCCTCTAAACTCCTGAAATACCGATCATTTTAGGCGTGCCTCTTCCCTATGTCTTCCTAGCTTCCTTCTGAGGGCGGTGCCCTTGTTATCATGCTGTCAATCCAAAAGGAAAGGTTACTGTGACCGGGCCTGGCACCCTTTGTGCTCTCGGTCCCTTTCAGTTCCTCCTTTGCTTGCTTTCGTGGGTATATTGTATGTGTTGAGATGATACACTTCAATGAAGTTAATTTTGGCTAATGTAAAGAATGTTTCTCTTTGCGTGGGTACTACACCCTCATTCTCCACAGGTGTGATGCAGCTTTCTTTTGCTTTGTAGGTCAACCCATTTGGATATCTAGAAATCTTTAAAAAACCTAGACACATATATAGTGACTCCTATATTAATCCTGGATGATGCAAAATGTTGAGATTATTTTGTGGATTATGAAAATAATTTCACAAATGATAGTTTAAGCTATCTAGGGAAAAAGGATATTAGAAAGGCATTGAACAAATCCAGTTTTTCTCTGCTATCTTTTATTTTTCTTGACTCCTTCCTTCCTTCCTTCCTTCCTTCCTTCCTTCCTTCCTTCCTTCC